TAAATATCTAGAAAACTACAAGGATTTGAACAGTAATATTTGGAGGCAAACTTTGCAACTTCTGAGAGTACCCTTACAAAATCCAACAACAGGATTGAGATCTTCGAAGCATTGTAATTTTTTAACATCTAAGTTTTTTTTGGAAATTTTCGAAAAAAAATCATACGAAAAAACGTCGTATCTGGAAAAACTACAACGATTTGAGCAGCCATACTCACAGGCAAGATTCGCAACCTCTGAGAGTTCCCTCTACAATTTCCAACAACAGGATTGACATTTTAAAAGATTTGGAATTTTTTTAAATCTTAAGTTTTTTTTTGAAAATTTTTGAAAAATCATTTTAATAAATATCTAGAAAACTACAAGGATTTGAACAGTAATATTTGGAGGCAAATTTTGCAACTCCTGCTAGTACCCTGGCAGCACCCAACTAGAGGGTGAGATTCTCAAAAAGTAAAAAAAAAATCTCTAAAATTGCCGTTTCTCGTAAGCTAAAAGGATTTGGTTATTCATATATGGAGGCCAGAATAGGAAAACCTGGGAAAACTGTAACAAAATCCCACTATTGGGTAGCTTACTTCAATCTTGATGAAATAAATACTGACTTTAAACAGGAAAATCGAAAAAAAATCTTAATCATTGCAATATACGATGTAGCTTAGACGTGCAAAAATTCTTTTGTTAAACATGCAAAAATAACGTTGAAAAAGCTCAAACATGGCGAAATAGTGAAGCCCGCATTTGAATATATAATAGAAATAGATAATAGATAGATGAAAAAGCAGGTATACACAAAAAGCAGGTTTACCAAAAAAAATAGGTATAGATAGATGAAAAACAGATGAAAAAGCAGGACTTGATTTGACCTCGAAAAAAAATTGCTGAAAAATTAATGACCTTGCGGAAAATTCATCAAAAAAGTTTCTTAAGCATTGCAATATATGATATAGCTTAAACGTGAAAAATTCTTTTGCTAAACTTGCAAAATTATTATGCTGAAACATGGGAGATAGCTGTCACACGCATTTAAATGTAGTATAGATACGAAAAAAAGTTCATTGAAAACATCCGACCCTGCCCAGGTTCGAACCCTCTTATTTTGCTGCTAGTCTCTTCCCTACCTCTACGCTACAGAACCATGATACCTTGAAGCTAAAGTGCTTAATGTAATATAATGGTATGTGTTAATATCCTAAGCATTGGCTGTACTTAATAGCTGGATCAAATGAACACATTTTGTCGCAACAATTGCATCGTAGCAATATTTCCGACTTCGGTTGAAAAAAAAAAAGTTCATACTATAACGCAAGCTATGCTTGTGTAAATAATAATTACGGTAACAAAGCCGATAACAACTTAACACAAACCCTTTAAGCCGAAAAAAAATCAACAATACTTATTGAACAGTTAATTAGTCCCCCTCACCCTCAACACACACACACATAGAATTTAGTTGTTCGTCTTATGAAACAATATGAAGCCACAGAGCCGATATACTATAGACCATAATTTTTTAGGGCGAAAAAAGAAAAACTTAGCCAACAGGCAGTTAGAAAAGAGTCAATGAACGCAATTAAACAGAAAAAAAACACCGAGTCTTTTTGAAAAAATCTTAACTTTCACATTTCAAATTTAAAAAATAGATGCCCTTGGAGCTCTTTGAATTTTTCGAACAATTTATGATAAAAATTGACCCAACTGGAGTAAACTGGATCAGAAAAGATTTTCTTTCGCTGGGAAATCTGACCAAGTCCATTTGAGATTTGAAGTTGATTATGTTTTTTGTGACCTTTACACTTTTACTGTTCGGTAGTGGAGTTTGCCTTCCTTTTAAGAAAAGAAATGAGCTGAAGAAATCAAAAGTCAAACCGCGAAAAAGTGGGTTTGGGCCTGAACAAATTTCATGACTTTTCCTGAAAAAAATTTTCTCGACCTATATAACAGTCTGAACTAGGTTCGCCGACTCGTAATAAACAAAAACAAAGCCGAAAAAAAACAAAAAATTTTGAGACTAATAAAACGTTATTAAGTCCCACTCGCCCTCAAAGCACCCACACACGCAAATACAAATGCTTTTTTTGCTCGTCGAAAGACGCCATATTAGGCCATTAATCGACTTAAATAAGCCGAAACCCATTAAGCAAAAAATTACAAGAATAACAAACCAAATCTAAAAAAAAAATGTTTTTTATTGCTTTAAATCTTCATTCTGCCCAAATGATTTGGTCCTATAGCTTATTGACTTAGTGTCTTATTTTTTAATTGTTTCATCGGAAACGTAATTTTTATACTCCCCTCTATATCGCACAAAATGCTAGAAACAATCTTCTAGATTTTTTTAAAAGATTTTTTAAAGCATTTTCTGCCATTTAGAAGGGAGCATAAAAATTACGTTTCCAATGAAACTACGAAAAAAAGCCTAATAAGTCCATAAAATATAAGCCAAAATCATTTGGGAAGAAAAATTTTTTTACGAGATAAAAAAAAGTATATATATATATATATATATATATATATATATATATATATATATATATATATAAGTCAAGGTTAGTTAAATTACAAACAGCAGAAAAAAATCAAAACACTAAAAGCAGCGACAATGTACTTTGTGAGCAGCAAAAAAAAACAATTCTACGATGTGGCTACTACGCCAACAAATAAAGCAGACAAATAAACCTACAATTTTTTGAAACGAAATATTTACCGTTCAAAAGAAAACAGGTCCTGTCAGATTCGCCCCAGGATATTTGCCGTTTCAGGTGTATTCTTTACCTCCAGACCAAGTGTACCGGAGACGCAAGGAAAACTGATATTATTATGAACTGAACCTAAGTAAACCATTTCTGATTTTGACCATTCTGTGAACAAAGTTATTTCCGGCAAAAACCGATTATCGCAAGGTTAAACATAGCCAGCATACAGTGCTGATTTAAATTAACCGGACAAAACGCGTTAAACTTGAAATTTAAAACGCGTTTTTCTCAAATTGGGTTGAGTTTAGGTGAAAACTTATGAAGACAAAACTTGCCTAAAATTTTAGCAGAATTAATGTGGTGTAATTTGTTTTGCGAAATTCGGGCCCAAAACTTTACCCCAAAAATGGGTCATTTTGGCTTTTCTTAGTTAATCAAAAATTACGCCAAAAATACCCAGTCGATTACAGACATAATTATATCAAAGTGAGCCCCTTGCGTAGCTCAACAAACTTTAAGAAGGGTATAATCTCCAAAAAATTGTATAAGTTAATTTATTTTTGTTTGATAGACAAAAAAGGTCATTTTTACTATATAAAATACCAACTTTTTATTTAAAAACAATTTTTAAACAATTTGCATTTTTTTTGGAGAAAATACCCTTCTTAAAGTTTGTTGAGCTACGCAAGGGGCTCACTTTGATATAATTATGTCTGTAATCGACTGGGTATTTTTGGCGTAATTTTTGATTAACTAAGAAAAGCCAAAATGACCCATTTTTGGGGTAAAATTTTGGGCCCGAATTTCGCAAAACAAATTACACCATATCAATTCTGCTAAAATTTTAGGCAAGTTTTGTCTTCATAAGTTTTCACCTAAACTCAACCCAATTTGAGAAAAACGCGTTTTAAATTTCATGTTTAACGCGTTTTGTCCGGTTAATTTAAATCAGCACTGTACAGTTGGAACCGAGTCAGTGAAAGCAAGCAGAAAAAAATACTGACTTAACTTTTGAAAAAATCTCAACTTTCAAAGAAAAAAATAGATGACCTTGAAGACTTTTGCATTTCACGATTAATTTATCAATGACACTTTTTTGCTAAAATTAACTGAATTTGAAAAAACTGGATTGATAGGTTAACTTTATATTTATTCCGCTGAGAAAGCTGAGAACTAAATTTCACTTTCGAAACTAGAATGTGGATCACGTGACCACCTCACTTTTGCTGTTCGATAGTGGGGTTTGCCTTCCTATCAACAAACAACATGAACTGAACTTGACGAAATCAAACGTCAAACTGCGAAAAAGTAAAATTGAGCTTGAACTAATTTTCCTGAAAAAAAAAAACGTAATAATCATCGCGACCTATATAAGAGTCTGAACTACGTTCATCGACTCTTAATAAGTCCTTGTAAATTCAGTACAATAAGTGAGCCTTGGAAAAATTGTTTCAGTCGAAGATCTATCATTGAAAAAGGTCAAACAGATAGCGTTTTGCACAGATGCAAAAACCATGAAAACAAAAACGATTGATTGACTTCGAACTGCACACCGATATTTGACAGAGCAGAAACGTTATACCATCTTAAGAGCAACCAAAAGAGGGCTGAACATTAACCATTTCTAACTTCGCCATTCAGCTAGCAAGCTGTTTACGGTATAAAAAAACTCTATTACCCTATTACAATACCCTTGCTAATCGCAAAAGTACGCAAAATAAAATACTCCTTTTAAAGTACAGCCGGTTACTGTGCAAGTAGCACAGAATGTTCTGACTATAGTCTTAAAAAATACAAAAAAGGTTTATTCTAGACATATTTGACAGTCATAATAGAATAGGCTAATTGAAAAACAGTTTTTGTAGAAAAATGATATGAAAATTGTTAAAATATCAAAAAAATGAAATTTTGAATTCCCACAAGTTTCTGATTCCCACAATGGCGCAAACAAACTCCAAAAACTAACTTTAATCGAGCAAAACTTAATTTTTTTTCAAATTAAGCTTAAATAAGCTATTGTAAGCCTGAACACGCTCACCTTAATAGCTCGAAATTAGAGCAAAAACCAAAAAATTTCAAACCGGTTTTTCTCGACACTGAGAAAAATGTTTCATAGTTTTTAAATTTCGTTCGAATCATGACTAAAAAGGCTTTAATATGATATATCACTCGTCCCATTCCAATGATTCTTTGTGGTACCTGATTTTGCGTGGAAAACAAAAAAAAACTAAAACACCCGAATACAAAGTTGTGCTTCAAGGAAACAAAGGAACTTTTGGAAACTTATAGTGAAGAAAAACATACCTTCGAACAGGAAGGGTTGGGTTGATAGGTCGACTCAGACTATCTTCAATCTCATCAACAGCATTGCACTTCCTTGCTTCTATCAGCTGAAACACAATACACGTTCCCATTTGATTTAAGGTGACCTTCAAACTGTTTACTGAGAGAGATGAGTGATGCTCACGTCTTGTTGTTGTTCTTCCAGCTGTTGCAATATCGCCAGCATGTCACTTTCGGCCAGATCTTTTGCAGTGTGACCCTAACAACAAATTGTCATTTTATACACTTAAGGCCAAATGTTAAACGTTATTTTATAGTTAATGCCAGAAAGTAGGTGATATCTCTTTCGGTCAACGAATCTAAAAGAAGTTAATTAACCCAAAATTGCTCATTTTGACACCGGAAATCAATTTCTCACTCATTTTTCAGCAGGTGAAAAAAAAACGTGTCAACATATATAGTGGATCAAGTAAACCGATTTTTTCAATCATTTGGCAATAACAATAATTCTATGTACCATACCAGCTTACCACAGGGTTTAATTTTCAGCTGAATATCTAACAAGGACGCGAAGCGGAGCTTCGCGCCACTTGCGATACAACAAAAACATTTTAAAAAAACATAAACCGAAAAAAAATGAACAATACTTGCACTTGCAACTACAATGAAATTTGGTTACAGCGCAAGAAAAATCTGCGATATGGCAACTAAGCAAACACTTTGAGCTGAAACCGCTTGAACCGAAAAATAATGTTTTTTTGAATCCCCCTTGAAAGTAGAATGAACAGCACTTGCACTTGCAACTACAATGGAAGTTGCTTACAGCAAAAAAAAATCAGTGATGTGGCAACTAAGCGGACAATCTTTGAGCAGACACCAACTGAACCGAAAAAAAGCAGATTTTATAACGAAATTAGAATGAACAACTTTTGCACTTGCAACTACTATGAAAACTGTCTACAGCACAAGCCAAATCCGTTGTGGAAACTAAGCCGACAAAATTTGAGCAAACATACGAAAAACCCAGTTGTTTTTTCAATTTCCTTGATTATGAAAAAAATAAGGTCCCGCCACGACTCGACCCCCAGAACTTAGGGTACAAAGGTAACGGCTTTACCTCCATGCCAAGAGTGAAGCAACCTGGCAAATGTTAAGAGAACAGAAGTGAAAAGAAGTCAGCAAGTGATTCAACTGATTTTGTTGAACTAGTTGTTAACTAGAAAAAAGCCCATATTCCAGTTTGTATTACGCTTGCATTAAGTCTATATCTCTTTTCTTTAAATAAATGTTTTCTTTCTTTTCCCAAAAGCTTTATTTAAGAGAGCTTGTTTTTCAGGTTATAAAAAAGAGGTTAGCTTGATTTTATAACTCTTTAATCACGATTCTACGGTTCTTGAAGAAAGCCTTTTGCTTCTTTGGAAACCAATTTCATTTTTAAATAATTTCCCGTGAATTTCTTAAACAAGAAACCTTTCAGGACGGGGTCGATAAAATAACTAACCAATTTCTCGACTTCGATTTCAAAATGTCTAGAAATAGCTATTAAAATGATTTTTTAATTTGACGTTTCCTTACAAAATAAATCAATCTACGGCGAGACAACTCAACTCCATCCACTTTACAAGTTGATATAAATTTTGATATTTCGTTTGAACGCACATTTTTATTTTCCAGGGAGAAATTGGCGCCATACTCGGCCAACACTTTGGCTGCATCTGACAAACTCCAATGAGCGGCTGCGTGTAGAGGAGTCCACAGATCATTGTCAGTTGCATCTGGATCTGCTCCCGCTCGCAACAGTAGTCTGGAAAGTAAAACAGTTATTATTAAAAAATAAATTTGAAGGGCAAGAGACAACTAAAAATGTGTCTAAAAAATAAATTTGAAGGGCAAGAGACAATTAAAAATTTGTCAAGCACTAAGGTTATGTATAGTTTTCTGTTAGTCTAAATATCAATAATTTTTTTGCCGTTCATAATTTCTTTGGGTTCATTGGCTGTTTTTTAATTAACTCACAGAAAACCGCAAAAAAATTATTGATATTTAGAGTTACAGAAAAATATACATCAGCTTAGTGCTTGTCAAATATCAGAACCTTTTATGCTTGCAACTTCTAACACAGAGGCGAAGCAGAGCTTCGCATCACTAGCGATACAACACAATCATTAAAAAAACAAGTCGAAAAAAAAATGTTGAAAAAAACTGGATGAACCAAAATTTTCGTATGTCTCGATGAAGGACACCTAGGGCCCAACTAAAGCTGGAGGCAAGCGGTTGAAATTCTTATACTGATGCGGGACGAAATGCGCAATTTCAAAATATGGACTCTGCCCAAAACCTTAATGTTTCTCTACTAAAACAGGAAAGGTTGAACATTTCTGAGATTTTGGAATTTAACTAAATTGATAACATTTCTATAACAAATAAATAAAGAGAAGCCGCTTCAGTAGAAAAAATTGGAGCAATTGCTTCATGTGATTGAACATTTCGTCGGAGATTTGATAGGTTAGTTTATAAGAGAAGAAGAAAAAGAGTCTAAGAAACGGTTTAAAGTTAAGAAACTTGACTTTGCGAAATCCGTAACTTTTTTCTGCTAAAAGCAGGTCGTGGCCGGTTAAGTACAGAAGATAACTATAATCAAGTTTCTTGATTAAACACTTAACCTGAGAATTGGTACCGTAATTTTCGGTGAAGTAAAAAAAACTTCCAAAAAAGGATAAAATTTCAAAACTGTCACTTATTTCAAGGCTTTTTTCCAAAAAATACTAGGTGTAGCAAACTTCAAAGTAAGTTTCCAACAACGTGTTGTGTCGATTAAACTTATGATATCAGATTTGACAGGATAATTATCGAGAAAAGTCGCAACTGTCAACAAATCAGATATTTGACATTTCCGAATCATAGATTTTTGTTTAAAAAACTGAGCGCAACCTTTTATGAAGAAAAAATTCAGCCAACCTATAACATCGATTGAACCCAAAGACCCAGGTTTGGTAGGGTAATTTTGGAGAAAATTTGAAATGTTTCAAAAAACGGTCTAAAAATCAAACTTTTGACTTTTCTGAGGGCCAATACGTTTTGTATTAAAAACATTGGGCGTAGCAGCGCATGCAATGAAGCTTTCCACAACCTTTTCTTAGAATTGATCCCCAAATCTCATATATGGGAGAGTATTTATTTGGATTTCATATAAAAAAAAATTACTTTTCCAGGGACGATAACTTTTCGTGTAAAAAGAATTTTGAGTGCCCGCTATTACAGGGGAACTTCCCACTGTAAAAACAGTTTAGGCGTAGTCGCTTATGGGGGGGGGAGGGGAGGGGGATTTTTCATTCGCTCTATTCATTGAAACAAAAACCTCAGACTTGGTAGAGTAATAATTCGACTTGTTAGAGTAATAATTCAAAAACGAAATAAAACATCGAAAATATCGGTTATGTATTCCCTTTCTATGGATACCGCTTTTTCGAAAATTGGTAGAAGAGTTTTTAGGAAAAATTGAACTTTCTCCAAAAAGTGGAAATTTTCCAAAGCGTCTCAAAAACAATTCAACAGAAAACACAATCCCATACATTTTCATATTACCTGTTTTTATCAAAACAGGACTTTTAATCAAATATGGCAAGCAAGACATTTGAAATTCACATTAGCAACTGAACAAAATTTACGGAGCGGAAACAAGGCTGAGCAGACCAGTTAAGCCGAAAAAAACTAACCTTGTGAGCCCCCCTGAAACTAACATGTAGCACCTAAAACCGACCCAGAAGTTACATTTAAATTTTCAATAAATTGTGCACGTCAGCTGAATATTCCCGAATGGTGTCTGATTCAACTGATTTTGTTAAACTAGTTGTTGGAAAAAAGTTTAAATTCCGATTTGATAAGGCTTACTAATCGCAAGCGTAATATAATTCCTCAATTAGAAGAAAATGGGCCACTAGGTTATTTTTTTTCGCTGGGAAATCTATAAATTAAAACCACATTTCAAAACGTAAAAAACCATGTTTTTTGTGCCAATTATACTTCGCTAATTGGCGCGCAAACTTTTCCCTTCTTTAAGCAAGCGAATTTGAATTCAACTAAAAAAATCAAAGTCAAACCAAGAAGAATCAAATATGCGCGCGAAGAATTGGCTTTAAAAAAATTATTCGTTCTTTTCGTTCACTGGCATTTAAAAAGTGTCAACTTCTCTCAACAGTAAACAAAATCACCGACTTAATCGCTTATTGGGTGAATGATTATTTCAAACCGTGTAGGCATTTAAGTACCCCTCTCAATTATTTGCCAATATCATGATTAATCTGAATATCAATTGTTCTGAACACCGAAATAACGCTGAATAATTCAATGTGTACACCACCCAGAACACTAACCGCAAAAGATTTTCTGTGCCCGCAAAAATATTCTGCTGAGCGTAAAATGCACGTTAAAAAATGCAAGCGGGAAAATGATGAAACATTCAGAAAGAAACCACTAATTCTCACTTCATGACATCAGTGAAGTTCTTAGATGCTGCCACGTGTAAGGGAGATGCGCCTGTCTCTGGGTGCGCCTGGTTCACAGACGCCCTGCTCCTCTCTTTGAGCCACTTGGCTGCATCTTCTCTCATTTGGTTCTCCTCTGCCTGCTTCCATTCTTGGAGATTGATTCCTACAATAAGTTAATTTCAAATTAAAAGTTACAAAAACAAAACACCTGTTTTTTTTTCAAACTTACTAGTAGTACGTGTGTAGTGAACTTCAACTTCGATATACATGATGATATATCACCCTGGGCCAATTGGAGAAAACTGGGTCAACAAGTAGTTAAAAAGTCAAACCGCCAAAATATAAACTTGAAAGTGGATATTTTTTATACAAACTTTGAAAAACATTACCGCTAAAAAGATGAAAATTCAATTCGTTCATGGCATTGAATTGAATTACGTAGATATTTACCACTTTGCCATTCAATAGTAAACGAAACCTGACTTCCGATTGAAAAACGAGTGTATGTATAATTCAAATACTGGATTCGAAACTCACCCTCATCTTCAATTATTTGGAGTAAAAACTCTCTAACTCCTTCATCTCCATCAGATTTGACCAAGTCATAAGGAGTATCTCCGTCATGATTGACAGCTACAGGATTGGCCCCTTTTTCAATCAACAACCTGCAAACCAATACAATCTTAGTCTTTAAGCAGAAGATAATAGATGAACGTTTTTGAACCACATACTCAACAAATGGTAAAGATCCCACAGATGCGGCAGCATGTAGAGGTGTCCATCCCTCGTTATCGAAGATATCGAGGTCTGCTCCATTGTCGATGAGAAAGTGCATCATGTCTTCATCGGTATTGACTGTTGCCTAAACAAACGCACCATACAAGCTGTGTCTGGAGAAAGGAAGACAACTGGTGAAGATTTGAAGTCAACCCCCATCTCTAGAGGCATCAAAAATAGCAATTACCTGATGCAAAGCAGCAAGACCATCGCAGTTTTTGGCATTAATGTCAACACCCATCTCCAAGAGTTCTCTTGCATAATCGACGTCTCCGCCTTCGCAAGCGGAAAGAAACAGTAACTTTAAAGGAAATTTAACAGCCCAGTTCTTATTCTTCTGCGAAGGGTCAATGCTTGCAGTGTCGGAGGCTTGCCATTTTTCCAACTGACTTTTCCGGAAAGCTTCGCTTTCCTTGAGCGGAACTTTAGCGGGCAGGGCATCTAGATTTCCGCTCATATTCTCACGCAACCATAAGTAGTCATCTGGATTAAGGAACTATCTGTTTACACAACAGGGGACCGATCTTTTAGTACGAAAACTTAAAAATGCAGACCAAAGTAAGAAAGCGATGCATTTTTTTCAATGGTAATCAAAAGGTCAAAAGTGTCATAGTAACCGAGGTTACAGTCAAGAGTCCCTTCATCACGTATTCCAGTCAAAATCCTTGGAATTTTCTAGATATGGAAGTGATAATGATAAAAGAAGATGACAAGTGTTTAAGTCCTTTTCAATTAAAGCGATGCATGATTATCAGATTCAAAAAGCCGCTCAGACGTAGGTCGCGCTTCGCCAATCTGTCCATCCCTCGTTATCGAAGATGGATAACTTTTAGCCTAATTGTTGTGATAAACTTATTAAATAGATTTGTTATGTTTGATGTTTGTGCCTGTATGTGGAGCGCCCTCTGAGGGATTTTAGAGACAGGTCTGTCAAGTGGCTTTCTGTGGGGAGGTGGGGAACTGGAACTGGCTTGAGGAGTCTGGTGGTGCGCCGCTGGACCTACTGAGCTCGGTTGAGATTGTTCTTTGTTTTTTATAATTCGATTTTTAAATTTAAATTAATTTAGTTGTCTTTTTTTATTAGCTGATTTGTAAAATTCCCACTAACCGCTTATCATGGGTTAGTTCTGTCCCCTAAAGTCCAGTCAAAATCCTTTTTTTTACCTTTATGCTGCGTCAAGATGAGGAAAAACAACAAAGATTGTACAAGCAAAGATTGCTTAAAACCTTCAGGACTGATAAATTAAATTAGATGTGATTGTTGTTCTAGTTGGTATCAGGGATTGCAATATATTGAATGATCAGATATTGAATATTGAGACGATGTCAATATTGAATTTTTAATATTGAGATATTGAAGGCTAGATATTGATATTGATATTGAATTTTTTGTAGATATTGAGAAAAACGGATTTTGTATCATTGCTTGAAACGTGACGTTTTAACACATACACATAAAACAAATGGTGATAAAAAGTTTCTGAAATGTGAAAGAGCCTCTTTCAAAGAGGTATTACATGAACACTGATTATAAATCAAAGAAGGCCTTATTCTTATTTAAAAACACATTGCGACAATGCCGTTCCACGCTAACTACTAAACAAATTTAATTATATATTTCGAAATTCAATATTGAATTTGGTCTCTGGTATCTTAAAATAGTGATAATATTGAGATATTGAGCTTTTAGATATTGATATTGAAATTTCATCCTATTTGATATTGATATTGATATTGAATGGAAGATATTGATATTGAGCTCAATATATTGATATTGTATTGAAATCGCTGGTTGGTATCATATCAGTTGTGTAAATATTTCTCTTAGCGACTCTAAGAAAACCCAATGGTTTCAGTGTCCTTTATGCGTTGATGTAAAATCTGTTAATAAAGCAACAATAGGTAACGATTTAGTGCTAGACAATTATGTTAATACAGCCATCTCAAATGTCCGAGTACTCAAGAGAGTACCAAAAGACTCGCGTGTTCCCTTGGCGGAAAGTCTGTCGGACAAAATAAATGACATTGTCGACAATGTAGAAGATGTTACAAAATGGCTAATTTTTTTAACGTCGCTCTTGTTTTTTTTGGAGCAACCGAAAAGAAGTGGACGCAAACAGACCACAAGCTTGAGCTCTTTGATAAATAAAAAAATTCGAGCAAATGACGTGTCACTTCCAAAACCCCATCTCCAAGTTTCAAGCCCGCCTCTGAGTGACCTCGAGCAGAGAATAAAGTTAATAAGTAGTAAGCTCGATGAAGGAAACGTAAAGGGAGGAGTAAGGTTTGCTGCTTCGGATGACAAAATAGCTCATTTTTCAACTGATAACTATCAAAAATTGTTGTCTAAGCACCCGCAGCGAGCCAAATTTGCCGCTCCAAATTCAGAAAAGTTTGATAGTTTTTTCGTTACCGATTTCGACCTATACAAAGCTATAATGTCCTTTCCAAACGGATCAGCAGCAGGTTCTGATAAATATTTCCTCAAATTTTTAAAGATCTTGTTCGTAAGTCGAATGGCAGTGCAGGACTTAATTTTCTGAAATCGCTTACTAAGCTGATAAACCTCATTGGAGATGGCAAAATACCGGAACCACTAAGACCTTTCTTTTTTGGCGCAAAGCTTATCGCCCTCATAAAAATAGACGGATGGTTGAGACCGATTGCCATAGGCAATACGCTGAGACGTATCGCGTCTAAATGCGCTGGAAGCAAAGCCCTCTCCGAGCGACAAAATTTTTCGGAAACGTACAGGTAGGATGCGGTACCAAACGAGGAGCAGAAATAGCTGCGCACTCGTTTCGAAACCTAATTGAACGCGACGACAATCCAAAATGCACTGTTCTTTTAAAACTAGATTTTAAGAATGCCTTTAACTCTTTAAACAGAGAAACAATGCTGAATCATGTTTTTTCAAATCGCCCCGAATTGTATAATTACACCCATTGCGCGTATGGTAAACCTAATTACCTTTTTAACGGAAGCTCTGTCATAATGTCAGAAGACGGAACTCAGCAAGGTGATCCTGAAGCCCCACCCCTTTTTGCGTAAACAATTCGTACACTAGTTAAACAGTTGGAGTCGAAAATTAACATCTGGTATTTAGATGATGGGAATTTAGCCGACGACTATAAGGTAGTACTCCGGGACCTTAAAAACATTCTGAAATCGGAACAAACTTACGGCCTGAGCTTAAACACTGAGAAGTGTGAACTTTGTTTTTTGGGACTGACTACTAGTACACAGTATAATTCAATTTTAACACAATTTCGAAAAATATGCCCCAAAATAAAAATGAAAACAAAAGAAGAACTCCTCATTTTAGGATCTCCAATCGGCGAACTTTGCCGAAATGAATTGCTCGACGAAAAAATTAGGGAGCTTGAAAAAATCTCGGATGTCATTGACCAACTAGACGCCCATTATGGTTTTTACCTCCTGAAAAATTGCTTTAGCATGCCAAAACTCCTATATTTTTTGCGTACGAGCCCTTGTTTTTTGCAAAATGATTTTTTGGAACGCTACGATAAATTACTAAGAAATTCGTTATGCAAGGTCACTAACGTGAAAATTGATGATAACCAGTTTTTACAAGCAGTTCTCCCGGCAGCCAAAGGTGGCTTGGGCGTTTCTTCCGCTCGTCTACTCGCTTTACCCGCTTTCTTAGCCTCAGCAGTAGTAGCGAAAGATGCCTTGAGCGAAATCTTTGGTTTGGAGCATGTGGATGGAACCTATGATGATGCGCTTAAACGGTGGTTTGACCTTGGAAAAATTGAAATGGCTCCGGAAAATGAAATCCAAAAAAATTGGACGGAGCCAATTTTTGACAGCGAAATTGCAGACTTGATTTTACGACTCGAACCAACGGACGTAAAAAGGTTCAACGCGTTCCAAGATAGATTTGGATCCCAATGGTTGAACGTCATCCCGTGCAAAAATTTAAGGTTAAAACTGTCGAACCAACAACTCAGAATTGCGATAGGACTTCGATTAGGATCAAAAATAAGCGAACGGCATAAATTCGTGTGCGGAAAAGACGTTACCGAGGATGGTTGGCATGGTCTTTCTTGCCTCAAAAGTGCAGGGAGATTCTCTAGGCATTCAAACCTGAATTCCCTTATAAAGCAGAGTCTATCATCTACTCACATTCCGTCTGTTTTAGAACCACAACACCTCTACAGGACCGATCAGAAGCGACCAGACGGTTTGACGCTTGTTCCATGGGCTGATGGTAAGCAGCTCTTGTGGGATGTAACGGTATCAGACTCCTTAGCTCCTTGTAGGATTAATGCCGGGTCTGTTTGTAACCCTGGTACGGCTGCCGCTGAAGCGGAAGAGCGAAAAATTGACAAATATAAAGATCTTTTAAATGATGGATATCTTTTTCAACCGCTAGCTTTTGAAATTCAGGGCGCGGCCGGCCCCAGCACAGAAGTTTTTTTGAGCAAGCTTTGTAAGAACCTAAGCATATGCACTGAGGAACCCAGAGCAGGCAGCTTTTTAAAACAGAGAATCTCCCTGGCAATACAGATTGCGAACGCCGCTTGCGTACTCGGAACAATAAATGACAAAATAACTTTCGACGAAATTTTTTACTTGTAACACCTGTATATTATATTATCTCGTGTCGAGTTGCGTGTTCTTATTGAAGAAGCGTAACCCGTATCGATTTTAATTGAAAAGGACTTAAACACTTGACATCTTCTTTTATCATTATCACTTCCATATCTAGAAAATTCCAAGGATTTTGACTGGAATACATGATGAAGGGACTCATGACTGTAACCTCGGTTACTATGATACTTTTGTCCATTTCAATTTCACATACCGTGTAATTTCAGATAAATTGAGCTTGAGGACCGAATCGAAAAACATTATTAAGAAATCCCACGCCTCTAGCTTCGTGGGTGAGCTTTTCAAAAACGGAGTAGGAAGAAAATTGATCAAATTATTGAAATCTTATCTATCAAACAGGTCCCAATCTGTCAAAGTTAATAACAAGATCTCAGATCCAAAGCCCGTAACAAGCGGAGTGCCCCACGGCAGCATCCTCGGGCCATTGTTTTTCCTAATTTTTATCAATGAATTGCATTCTCTTTGCCAAAATCTCACACCTTTAGTTTCGCCGATGATGCAAAATTCATCAGCCTAGAATTAGCTAAAGACGAATTTCAAAATGAACTTAATGTGATATACAACTGGACAGTTCAAAATAATATGCCATTCAATGTTGATAAATGCACCCACGTGAGCTTTACTAAACGTTCAAACAAATTTCGCTTCAACAATACGGAAATTAAATTAGTGGACACTAAGAAAGATCTAGGGGTTATAATTTCAAATGACATGATCTGGAATCTACACATTGACAAAGCAGGCTTAAAAGCAAAAAAAACTCTTTTCGCGATTGAAAGAAACATATCGAGTTTAAACAGAGTAGCGAAACTGAATTTGTTCAAACCCATGATAATCCCCGTGATTCTTTACGCAAGTCCCTGTTTTGGTTTAAATAAAAACGTAATGTCCGAATTAGAGACGATTCAGCAAAGAACAGTAAAACGGATTTGCGTTAATGGATTTGCTGTTGCTATCAAAATTGATTTTGGGATATTATGAGGCATGTAATCTAGATTTACCATATTACACAGAGTTCTCGCGCGCAAATTTGTTTCAGGTGAGACCTCCGAGGAAAGGCAAATGCGAACTGAATTTCATGTACCAAACATGTCGACTTGCGAATGTGTTAAAAGTTGATTTAGGAGAAGATTTTGGCTTGAAACAACGACTTTTAAAATTCTTCTGGTCGAAATTCGAGCAATACAATGAGAGCAACAAGTGCACTTGGAAACTAGCGTGCGACT